TCATATTGCGGTATTTTAAAAATTCATATCATAACAAAAATAAACACCGGTATTCGGTATGAACCGGTATACCGCCCAGCACTACTGCTGGGTCTTTAATGTTGTGGGCCAGATTAATTTCCACAGCCTTCTTTGATCATATTTACCAAGGGTATGAATAATTTTGAGCACAACTGTATCTTCCGTCTTTCACAAGGTTTCTGAAAATACCATAACCGCTCGTTAATACGAAAACAATAACAATACTACTACTACTACTACTAATAATAATAATAGTTATTTAAAAAGCAGATTCAACTTGTTTTTGTCAAGTTTGAATGATTTTGTTGTGCGTTTTGTCATTTTATATATATATATATATATATAATTTCAGTTAATGTGTTTTTTATTTCATGTAATGAAAATGGTTTTAGTTTCAGTTAACTATAATAACGCTTGGGTGAATAAAAGATGACAAAACGTTCATGTTTGGTGCTCTATCAGCACTAAGATTTAATTTAGATTTAGATTTAATATACTAATTTAATTAACCACAAGATCAGAAAAAAAAAAATCTGATACTAAATTATTGAATATTGTTTATACATATTAATTATTAAAACAGTGCCATTGGGAAACTATAGATTGGTCTTTTTGCATTCATAAATGGTTAATTATTAAATGAACATAGTTGTTAATTAATTTTGTAATGATTAGTGGTGTGTGAGACTGACGTCTATGCAGCGGTAGAGTTTGGAGAGACACACGAGCGTCCGTCTGACGGTGGGATACCACATGCCATGAAGATCTGCCGGAGAAACTGTGCTGTGTGCGCGCGGATCTGCAGGAGAAACACAGCGTACCGTCACCACCGTCCACGACGAGCTGCTGATCACAGAAACTGTGTCCCGACAAACACTCACCAGAGCTGACGAGCTTCTTATTATCAGACTCCTCCAGCTGCACGTCAGAGAAAGAGCTGCTCGAGGTCAGCTTCATCTGCTCCTCCTTCAGACTCTGAGCGATTTTCTGCAACAGAATACACTCTTCAAAACACTACTGGACACGGACTAGATTTGCATTTGAATAAAAAAATAAAAGAAATAAAAGAAAAAGTGAAAATGAATAAAAAAATAAATAAATTCAAAAATAAAAAATATTAAAAATAATAAAAATAAATACATTTAAAAAATAAAAAAATTAATTGAAAACGAAAATGTAAAAAAATAAAAAAAAAAAATAACATTTAAAATGATAAAAATAAATACATTTAAAAATTAAAAATTCAAATAAATACAAACTGAAATAAAAATAAATACATTACAAAATAAAAATAAAAACAAATAAATAAACTATTGAAAAAATTAAATTAAATGAAACAATTCTAAAATAAATAAACTAAAAAATTAAAAAAATTAAATAAACTACAAAAATGTGAAAAAAATGAATAACAATTGAAATATAAAGATATACAAAATTAGATAAATTAAAATATAAAAAATAAAACTTAAAAAATACAAATAAATAAATGTAAAAAAAATTTTTTTTATAGAATAGAAATAGAAATAAATAAATTACAAAAATTAAAAATGAATAAATAAATTACAAAAATAATAAATGCAATAATAATAATAATAATTAATAATTAAAAGCTGGATGGATTCATAAAGGAAACAGTCGGCTTTCCAGGCAATATTATTTTAGTATAAATGAAACACTATTACTGTTTCCACATACATTTTTGTTTAAGTTTCAATATTTTTTGTTGTTTTACATACACACATACACACACAAACATACATATATATATATATAGACCAATTTGGAGTAGACGTCACAGTTACGTCACTTGCAGCTGCGAGCATTGTGGTGGCAAAAAAACCCTGGGAACAACTGGAGGGAAACGGGTAAAATCCATGGAATAAGATAAAAAATGTATTGTTGTGCTTTTGGATGTCAGAATCAGAGTGCAAATAATTTTTATAGAATAATGTCATAAAAGACGCCATTTGAAGCTAAACGCAGACGTTTAAATGGACAAACTATGGATGAAACCTGCTACGATTACCCTACTTTTAAAGCATAAATTTGATTTAAACAATAGGTCTATATAATATTCACATAGGGGACATATTGTATTAGCCCTACTGTTAAAGCATGGAATACTATTTAAACCTGTAACATTTTACATTAGATTTAGCCTACCTATTTTATCTCACAATTCTGACTTTTGTTTCTCATTTACCTCAACAATTGCGAGTTTGCCAATTCTGAGGGGAAAAAAGCCAGAAGTGTGGGATATAAACTCATGATTCTGAGCCGAGGGGAAAAGAGAGAATGACGAGTTGATTTTTTTTCTTATCAGAATTGTGAGATATAATCTCGGAATTGCAAGAAAAAAGTCCAAATTTTTAAATAAAAACTCAAAAGGTACCTTTTTTTATTCTTTTATTCCATGGCTTGCTTTAAAACACGCATTTTCTGCCACCAGATAGACTCCGCCCACAAAAACGTCATCACTGTTTGCAAACACTGAAATTGGTCTATATATATAAGTTTGTGTTACTTTAGCATATCAAGTTAAACTACAAGAAAATGAGAAATGTTGTGAAAAAGCATAAACTCATTGATCCCCAGCATCCCTGGACTAACAGCATCTCAGAAGTGCTCTGCTCGCTGACCTCCATCATCTCTAGTTTGTCGGGGTAGGCCAGGTCTCCCGGCGCAGGCTTGTATCCGAGGATGTCCGTCTGGATGTAGATGTGTGTCCTGTAGACCAAACGCTCCTGAACGTCCTCCAGCATCTGCTTCACCACGGCGTCAAACGCTGCCAGCTGCACCTCTGAGACAAACCCTACTGCTTCATTATTCATTCACTCACTTTTCAACACCAAGGCTATTTTCATGGAGATCTCAGAATAAAATGACACAAGGCATACAACTAACAAAAAGCTATAAAAGACGTTTCAGACAAAAATTCTAAAATGCATTCAGGTGATACATTTTTAAATAAATCAGTTAGACACACCTCTGAATAAAACAGCTGTCTATTTACATTAAAAACAGTACAATCCAATAAAATGTGACCCTGGAGCACAAAACCAGTCATAAGGGTCAATTTTGTGAAATTGAGATTTATACATCATCTGAAAGCTGAATAAATAAGCTTTCCATTGATGTATGGTTTGTTAGGATCGGACAATATTTGGCTGAGATACAACTATTTGAAAATCTGGAATCTGAGGGTGCAAAAAAATCTAAATATTGAGAAAATCATCTTTAAAGTTGTTCAAATGAAGTTCTTAGCAATGCATATTACTAATCAAAAATTAAGTTTTGATATATTTACGGTAGGAAATTTACAAAATATCTTCATGGAACATGATCTTTACTTAATATCCTAATGATTTTTGGCATAAAAGAAAAATCTATAATTTTGACCCATACAATGTATTGTTGGCTATTGCTACAAATATACTCCAGAGACTTAAGACTGCTTTTGTGCTCCAGGGTCACAAATATGCTTCATTTTTGTTTCTTCACCTTTTAGTAAATATCCATGTGTAAGTCTCGTCTGACCTAAAAGATACCTTGGTCATACTTAGATTTAAAATGAGTAAAACATATTTTTCTTACTCTAGGATTTGTTTCATATAGCTTATTTTCATGACATTCGTCCCAATCTGCCACAAGTCATTAATATAAGAGTTTGTCATCTTGTTGTTCTGGCTGGTGAGATCTGTGATGGTGGCGTTTATACAGGGACTGAGCAGGACTTCCCTCTGCTCCAGATAACACTGATGAATCTCATCCAGCAGCTGCTGATACCTGACACACACACACACACACACTGGTTTGTTTGCAAGCAGCCTGATTCAACACACATTAAAACTAATAACAAACATAAAAATAAATCAATACAAAAGTAAAATATATAAATTGAAAAATAAATATTATTCTGTCAAACATGTTGTGTTTCATGGAGGAAAGAAAATAATTTCTAAAATAAAATAAAAACTTAAAATATATAAATGGAATAAATGAAAATAAATTACATAAAATAAAAAATAAAGTTTTATAAATAGAACTTATAATATATAATGTATACCTTTAATAAATAAAAATACATACAAAAACAAACTAAAACATAATATAAATAATTACAAAATAAATGCAACAAAATTATTAATTAACAAAATTAAAAATAAATAGATACAAACAAAAAATAAAAAATGAATAAAATAAATGAAAACAAATTAATTAATATATAACAAATAAAATAAAAATGAAAAATAAATAAACAAACAAAAATAAACTAATAAATAAATATTATTCTGTCAAACATGCTGTGTTTCATGGAGTAAAGAAAATAATTTTGGGTCAGAATAAAACAACAGTAAATGAAAAGAGTTTTCATATCTGGGTGAACGGTCTTTAACCTCCAGTTTCATGACAAGTTTGGAAACAAGAAGATCCAGAACAGGGTTATTATACAGTAGTTAACTAAAACTAAAATTAAAACCATTATTATGTAATTATGAATTATGTAATTTCCTGTAAAAGATCAATAAAGTATCAATCAATCCATCAATAAAAAATAAAATAAATAAAGAAATTAAAAATAACCAAAATTAATTAAAATATTAAAAATACTTTATTTTAGCTAGTTGCCAAGGCAACATTTGTGATTTTGATTTTGTTGTTATATGATAAAAAAACAATTTTAAATATGGAATGCATGTGCATAGAAATGAGAATTATCAAAAAATAAATCACTCACTCTGGGATTTTGTTGGACCGCTGTTCAACTTGTTCAATGAGCCTCTGAAACAAAACAAAAAATCACATAAAAATAAAAATAGACTTATAGAAGAGCCAAATCAAACAATCCGGTCTGATGTCAAACGAGTGTTTGCACACAAGTCTTACTCGAACTTTGGGTGCCGCTGCTCTGAACTTCACATAGTAGAGCGTGAAGGCGTTGTCTGCGTTCGGAGCACCCAGCGGGTCCTGCTCGGGACATATTCAATAAACAAACCGGAAATGATCCAATCGTCTGTGATCTAATCATCAGCAAGCTTTAGTTTCTATTAAACGCACCCTTTTGGTGAGCTGAGCCGTGAGGTTCTGCAGGCTGCTGACCGTGTGGCTCTTGATGAGGAGCATGGCTCTGGACAGACACTGCCTGAATTTGGTCAGATAGACTGGGTAGTCTTTAAAATGTGGCTGAAAGAAAGAAAGAAAGAAAGAACCATTATGAGGAATATGCATGTGTGAAACATTGAGAGATTCTAATTTGGAACACAAGAGGAGAATACTGCAACACTGTAGCAAGCGTTTGGCTTACATGTGATGAGACGTATTCTATGCATTCGTCTAGTTTGGAAAGCATCGGGATGAATCCCTCGCTGTTCACTGATAATGTCGGGGAGTTCAGTTTCTACAGGAGAGATCAAACCGATGCATAAACAGACAATAAACACATGATCAACACATTCTGGAAACAGCAGCAGAGCGTCACCGTGTTTATGTTTTCCAGTTCATTAAAATATGAGAGTTTCTGTTGGATGCTCTCAGCCAGATCCACCAGCTCTGACTGTCAACACAAGAGAGAGAAGACAAATACACATCATTCATCAATGTACATGAACACTCCTTTAATTACATACACTAACAATGTCGTTATATTATTATAATGACAATAAAGTTTCTATGATTTTACTTTGTTTTTTTTATGTTTAAAAAAAAAAAGACGTCTCTTCTGCTCACTAAGGATGTATTTATTTGATCAACTATACAGTAAAAATTGTCAAATATTATTAGAATTTAAACTAGCTGTTTTCTATGTGAATATCTGTTAAACTGTAATTTATTTCTGTGATCAAAGCTGAATTTTCAGCATCATTACTCCAGTCTTCAGTGTCACATGATGTGGA